TTTCACACAAATTTTGAAAGGAATTACTACATGAGATGTGAGAGGAAAGCAGTTAAACAACACATTACATTTCCTGCCACTTTTAAGAGCGGGAATGCAAAACACAGTGACCTTCACTTATGAACCACTTAGGTACCACCTGGCATTTTAAAAAGCTTGGTAATTCATGGTTTCAGTTAAGATTAAATGCCCTACACAACGTACCCAACTTTACTGCCAGCTACGCTTTTTGGATCTTTGCAGAATTTCAAAAGACCCACTTTAGATGGCAAACCTATTGGTGATGAACATATTTTGCTGCAGGAAAATAGAAATTAAAGAAAGTGTGGACAATGTATGTTCGATGCTGCATTTGAAAAAATCTTACACTTCTACTTCGGGACTTGGTCCAATCAAGACATTTAAAAGTCATGAGTGCACTTGTCCATTCATTTACAGGTTTACTGTAGGAAGCACCAATTCAAAGTAGCTATGCTCATTTGGGGGCATTCTGTATTCTGGCCAGCCTGTCTGTTTATTGAGCTGATCCTATAAGGATCCCTGCTTCTGAAAGTTTTTTGCAACTGTTATGGAAGAGGGCTTCTGTGCTGACATGGGCTTAGGTTTCTCTAAGCATTTAAACATTCAGTAAAACTAAAATTCCATATGTGATCATGGCAGATTGTTTAAATATATTGTAAGATGGAGGGCCATGGGTAAGTTCAATATTTGAATATATTAACTACATTAACTACATTTTCATGTATCTTCAGATTCTGAACTACAGGTATGTAGCAATAATTTTACAATATTCCTATTATGAAATGATTACCTGAAAATATGAAGAATACCCTGCCATTATTGAAAAGTAGCATATAGTAACAGCTCTAAAACAATTATTTTGGTCTTTCTGCTTGATCCCTTATTTCTCATCTTTTTAATAGTGTTTTGCATGTTTAACTTCTTTCTAGGAACCATGAAAGGATTACTTGCTTTGAAAACATGAGAGCTCACTGCAGCTTATGAGAAACATACCAATGGTACAAATGAATTTTCAGAGTGAGTAATTTTTCTTCCTGTGCTATTTCTCCAGTGTGTCGCAAGGAAAAATCTCAAGACTTAAGCATATGAAAGAATGGAGCAAATAATTAAAAATGATGTCTTAGCAAAAGTAAAAGGAAGTGTCACTCCCCTTTCCTGCATGTTTAACTGAGATATTATGAGTAGAAGAGCATTCAGTTTCTGATTTACTGTATATCTCAGCACAGAACACTTCTGTCTTCCATTATACAGGGATAGCTGCTATGTGGCTATCAAAGAGCTTTAGAAGCTCCTTAAATGCATTCAGAAGAGATCCTGCATGCCTTGTATTTCCATGCCATAAAAATTGCTTTGTCCATCCTCAATAAGCATATCATCTACTTCTGGTACTGTCCTTTGGCAGCAGGATGCTCCTCATTCAGTGCTGGTGAGTCACAAAACACTAGGATAATGACAACATCAAATTGCCATGAGTGGTAAAAATCCAAACAGATTATAAGGAGCTCTGAAAAGCATTACCCTGAAGAAGGTAAATGGATGACAAAACGTGATGATCACTGGGACAAAATAAAGCACCCCTGCATTTCTATAAATACATAGCTAGGGTGTGAATAGGTAATAGACAGTTAAAAAAAGAGGTCTCCTCAGTGAAAGTACTAGAATATGAAAAGGCATATTCTATATTGGGGAATATAAATGCATTTTGTAATCATATCTGAAATATGATCAACAGTTCTGGTTGTTCCACCTCAAAACAAACTAAATAACTGGAGATAGTAAAGAAAAGGGCAGCTCATAATTAGAAGATTGGGGACACGTTCCTTAGAAAGAATAAGGATTTAGAGCTATTTTGAACAGAAAAATGAGAGAGGGGGAATATACGATAGAGATTTAAAAGATTTTACATGATATATATTTCTTCTGCCTTTCTGATAATGAGAACCTCAAGTTACCTAAAGATGCTGAATGGTAGAAGATTCAGGACAACTAAAAAAATATTTCTTCATACTACCCCTAACTCGCTAATACATTTTGGCTGCTGCCTAATTTTTAGTATCTGTTGCCTTAGATGATTTTAAAAGAGGTTAGACAAAGCCATGGAGGTCAGTCAGGTATCAGCCAGGATAGCTTAACTAGACCCATCAACAGTAGCCCCCCAAATACAGTCAACAACAGTGGAGAGCTGTTCTGTTTATGTTCTGTTGTAGACTTTGCAGTAACACAGAATCAATTACTCCTGGAAATCGGATGACATTTTCATCAAGCTAAGTGCTTCTTACATTCTTATCCTATTATTTCAAGACAAGATGATTCTCACTCTTTCTCCTAATGTTGGTTTTTTCTCCTTCTCTTATTGATAATTCATTGTGGAGTCTCATCCCCCAGAGTCACTTCAAGAGTGCTGGCCACCATCACTTCTCTTCTACTTCCCCATTAAGGAAGAGGTGAAAGCCGGATACTTCCTGCCATAGGAAGTCAACAGGCTCCAAATGGTGTCACTGAACATCAGCTTCTGTTAAAATGTTGGCTGGTGTTGTACGTTAACATTCAGTTAGTTCACTCAACCACATTATTCTGGCTGCTTATACATTCTCTGCTGCTCTGCTATCCTGCTGAGTGTGCTTTGTCACAAAGCAATGTTTATTCTCATCCATAACAGTAGCATTCATTAAGTGGTTTTCATAGAAAAGGTGGAATAATGTATCAGCAGTTCAGGGCAGATCAATCCCACCCCAAATTTGGCCAGAGATGTTGTTTGCATTTGAGACTAACTCAGAAAATCTAGTGCAGGAGTTACAGACTAGTAGAATTAGTCTATCAGAATAGTATAAGGAGCTGTGAGCCTCAATCTCCTTCTGGATAGCTGATTCTTGGCGAAGAGGGATGGGGAAGCTTCTGCCTATGATACAACAAAGGAATCAGTCAGTTGAATGGGTTGAGGTGCCCCAGGAGGATTTCCAGACTAACATGACAAAAGTGATTCTGTAGATATGGCCACTACTGTCTCATGAAATCTGACCTGCCATCCCTAACAAGTGCCCCTTGGTGCAGGTGGTTCCTGCAGGCAACTTCTTGTGTGAGAGAAAGCTGCTTTATAGGAGAGATAGAAGAGCTGGTATTTCACTTGCTGGCTACACACAAATCTCTCTTTTGGCAGCATTAGCCATTAATTCCTGTGTGGTTTTTCTCAGAAGATCCCTCAGCTGCTGCTTTTCAGGAACCTTGAACAAATCACCCATCTTTTTTCATGCTTCAACTCATGAAATGTAAAAATGGCAAGTTTGCAAAGAACAGAGAAAGTAAAGGAAGCAAAGAAAGCAGAAACAACAGTTTAGCTTTAGAAATAAGGAAGATTTATTTAGCAAAAGCCAAAAGCCAAAAGCCAACACCACCACCCTGGAGTTAAGTGCACTTACAGAGAAAGTAATTCCATAACAACCACTGATCTAGCAAAAGAACACAAGAGATACAGAAATACCAAGGGGATTTATGAAGAAAATATATGTGGTATAAAAATACAGTAATGTCAGGAGACCCAGACAGACAACCTAGGTTTCTCCTGGGAATTCAGTCCTGGATGTACAAGTGGGTGGTTGGGGCTCATAGTCTGGTAAAGATGGACTCTGCTGAGCAGAGCTGGTGGCATTCTTTTTATGTTATATGCTCCTCTAATGCATCTGCCAGTGCCACTGCTGAGCACGATGCTGCTACTGCTGCTGCTCTCTAGTGGCTGCCACTTGCAGCCTCATCTTCCTGGTGTCCCATCTCCACATCTCCATACTTGCTTTCTTGCCTACTGGATCTATACATGCTCTTTCCATTTCTCAACATTCATTTGAGATATTCCTGTTCATCACCACTCATTTCCTTGCCTTGCCTATGTCCTTAGCACAGCCCTGAGATTAATTTTCCACAACGGAACCTGGCCTGAGAAATAGCCCACATACGTTGAGAACAGCCCTTCCTCCTCTCACACTACTTTAGTCATGGTTGTCAGACACTGAAGAGGCCACACTGTTCTCTTTCTATCTTTCAACCAGATTTGCAGGATAAAGAATAATGGTGGGGAAATAAGCCCTCCACCTAATTCATTCAGAAGGCACTTTCTCCCTGAGTTGCATTCCTGAAAATCCAGCTGATGGATTAAGAGCAGGCCTGGATTTATGGCTTATCTGCCCCTGTTTTAGCAATTAAGGAATGGGCTATGTTCTCTCTCCTTCCCTCTCACGAAAAGCCACAACAAAGCTGTTTTGGTTTTATAAATTCAGTTTCCTGTGATTTAAGGGTTCTTTCCAGACCAAGGTAAATTTTGGGCTTCACAGGGAACTGATTTAAAAAATAAAGAAGCTTTGCAGAAATTACACAGCCAGAAAGAAAGGGAGAGTCAGGAAAGGAACATGTGGGCATTCAGTCTGTTCCTGGGCCATTATTTCTTGGTTTCATCTGAATGTGATCGAATCTCTGAAGTAGACCGTGGGGAGGAAAGCCAGGAAGGAGAGCAGTCCTGCCCCTCCCCCACTACAACATAAAGGAATGGTTTTATTTTCTCCTTGGTTTTCCTCACAAATACCCATTTCAGGTTAGGCAGGACAATGTCTGTCCATTGCTACAGCTGCGAGCCCTCGCAGCCAGGAACACTTCCATTCTTGTCCCTCAGTCAGTTACGGCACTCTTCAAACTTCCTACAATTTCCTTAGAATCCAGGGCTGCTCCAGGAACCTTGGAAACAAGAGGGCATTCAGAAAACTGCTGTGTAAGTGACCTCCTAACAGTGCTCAGTAATATCAATGCACAAAAAATATAAATAATATTATAATTAGCTTAATGGGAAACCACAGCACAGCAGGCATCTCCTGAACATTTAAGGCCACCCACGATCCGGTGGAGCTGCTTGTCTTTCTGTGTCCCTCACCCTAGGCGCATTCTGCCACAACCTGTAATCAGCATCTGCAAGCAAATCCTTGGGAACACACAGAATGCCCAGAGAAGTGTTGACTCTGACCTCCCATTGCTGCCAAATCTTCTCCAAGTTGGAAAGTCTGGACGTAATAATTCCTTAAGCTCAGGGAACGCTTTGTGAAAGAAAATATGACACAGTTGACAAATGACACCAGGAAAGCAAAGCAGAATTAATCTGACAATTTTTGAAAAAGAAAAGTGAAAAGAAAAGATATTTAGCTCTCTATCATAGACATAAAGTCATTTTGCGAAGGCAGGGATCCCTATCCCATCCCAGTTTCAGTTACAGGTCTTGCCAATGGCAAAGATAGGAATGAGGAGAGAGCCATCACTGCCACTGGCCACCAATCATAATTAAATTCTGGAAGCCATAATTTTGAATATTTTCCACCAGCCTATACAAGAAGTTAAATTTCCACTTTCTTTGCACAGGGACAGTTTAGAACTTGTCCAACAGTTGTGCAGTTTTACCCAACTATTCCCTAAAGTGACTACAATCCTAACTGAAAATCTAGAGATCCATTTTGCAGAAAGTATTTTTGAACAAAAACAAGATCTACAGTTTTAACTCCCAAGCAGCAATCACAATGTCAAGCAGAAAATATTTTAACTGCTAATGGTTCAGAAGTTAATCTGGGCACACTTCAAAGGACAAATCCAGGTAAATTTATCACATTGCCATAACATAAAGCAAACACTTAAAACCCCCAAAGTTATTTTATCATTTGAATTAAAATCCAAGCTAGAAAGGAACTTTACATGTCAGGTCAACCTTTTTCTGCAGCCACTTCAGGCACAAAGGCCACTTGTGTGTTTGGGCCATATGCAAATGACATATGAGCAGCCCAATTATGAAAGCAGAATCTTTACTAGGTAATCAGCACCCAGTTATACAAGAGGGACTCTATTATGTTGAGAAGACATACGTGATCGGCCCTGCTCACCTGGTTGCATCAAAGACACAGGCTGGGCTCATGTACTGCAGCAAGCCACCCATTTTTTGTTGGTGAATGAAAGACAATAGATGTGTTTACAGAACATATTAAGCCAAAACCAAACAAAGCACACGATGGCTTACTGAGGTGTCAAGCCAGCAACACAGTCTATATTTGTTTGGGATGGACTATGGAGAAGATGCCCTGACAGGGACTTCTTATTTTTAAGATCCCACTCCAAAGACAAAATGCTACAGCTGCTCTTTTGGGATTGGGGAAGCCTTTTCTAGAATGTATTCATGAATGACCAAGCTCAAATTCCAAAAGAACATGGATGTCATGTTAAACAATTTCTCCACACACAATTGGTTCAAAGCTGAACCATTTTCTTCAACTTACACAGACATAAGGCAGTTACTGGTCCTGTCTGAAGACTAAATAGGGAGTCTTAAACAGGAAAGGCAGAAAGTTGGAAAGTTTTGGCTAAGAGCAGGACTCTATATACTCTACCCACAGAAAGCAACACAATGCAAACAATGCAGTTCTGTGCCAGAGTCAAACACATTCTATACAACATGTTCTCTTCCCTAATGGCATTTTGCAAACTAGGCAAATGTAGATCCATGTGCTAGACTTGCATAATTTATTATGTTTGCCATATTTATAGGGAGAGGCAAAGAGAAATACTGGGCCCTGAAGACATGACTCCAGGCCTGTGGTAACTTCTCCACTCCCATTGCTGGCTTTTGGGTGTTTATCTGTGCAGTTTCAATACTATCCTTTCACTCTCAAAACTGCTTTCCTAAAAGAAAGTTAAGACTCTTGAGATTCCAACACTAGAGTGATGGAAGTCCTGGGGCCCTGGGATATCTTAGGTAACATCTGTTCTGTCAGTAGAAAAAAGTGGCCTAACTGTGTGGACCGGGAACTATAATTCAACCTTTGTTCCCCAAGACTCACCCTTTTTCACAGGACAAATCTGCACCCAGACATAGAGAACAGAAACAGAAAAGACAGGCTCACTAAGACCCTTTTAAAGGAAATGCAAACATTATTTCAGTTATCATCAGACCTAAGACACTTCATCTTCCTTTCATAGGGCAACCTCATCTTCCAGGCTATCTCCCAGCCCCTGCTTGTCCAGGACATTGAGCAAGCGACGGGGCTCCTCTTGGGCCCATGAGTCCCATTCCTCACTCTCATCCACGTTGAACTCATGCGCAGAGGCAATACCAGACTCACGGAATTTGATGAACTCCAGGCTGCCCAAAGGAGGGCCCATACTAGGAAGGAAATGGAAGCATTCTAGCTTCACCAAGCAGTCACTCCTACCTAAAGGGCTGCCCAGAGAACTGGAAACATTGGAGAAGCTGTGGTCGAGCTGGAGCAAGTGGGCGTCCTCAGGCATAGGGGTGGTGGGGTCACACAGAACAGGTAGGGCACCTGATCGATAGGTGATTTCCAGCAAGCTGTCTTGGGAGTCCACTGCAAGACAAGACAAGAAGAGAAAGTGGAGCATCAGGTCAGTCACCTCTGCTATAAGTGAGAGAAGATGGCTCACTCACCATCCAAGAGAACTGTTATCCTCTTGAATTATTCTGTGCTGCCCTTGAAGACTATTCAGAATGTACAACTGGTCCAGAATATGGCTGCAAAAACTTTTGGGTGCATCACAATATGCTTGCAATACACCTCTATTCTGCGAGCTCCACTAGTTGCTAGTGGCTTCTGGTGCAATTCAAGGTCCTGGTTGTTATCTATAAAATCCCACATGGATTGGGGCCTGGTATTTACAGGACCACCTTTCTCCAGTTGTTCCTGTCTGTCCCGTAAGATCAGACAGGGTGGACATGCTCCATGCCCTATTGACTATGGGACGTACCTAAAGGATGGTGTTCATAGTCAAAGAGCAATCTGCTACAGCAAGCAATCTTGCTGTGGAAACAGCAGTATTTCACAACTTTGGGGATGTGATTAATGTGGCACCTTTGTAAAGCCACAGATGTCACCATACCTATAATAGAATGGGTCCTAATCTCTAAACTTTTCTCCCTCTGCATGGAGCTCCATACACCATAGAAACAAAGATCATACAGAGAAAAGCCAGGCAAGGATAGGAAAAGAAGGCAATTGCCTTATTTATGCAATTTAACTCAAGAGTGTACAATCCTTGTTCTTTATGGTCTTGTGAGGAGAATAATATAGGATATCTGAACCAAAGGGAGGCTAATAGCATTTTTCTGACAGGAGGTGCCACCTGAATGGAAAACTTTTTTCATGATGAATTTATGATTTATTATGCCTTGGGCAGAGCTTCATTGCCGTGGCACACTAAGGCAGTATTCAGAAAGAACACCTTTCTAAAGTAGGCAAACAACACACACGTAGCCATGAATTGAGATACCACTACAGGAGCTGGCTTCATGCCTAAACTGGAGACTGTGTGGGAGGGTGAAGATTCTGAAGACCTTATAGAGACAATATCTGAAGAAAAAAAACAGCACTGAGAGATAAATAAACACAGATTTGACTCCTGAGACAGCAAACACTAATCCAGAATGTCAAGGAAGAGAAGACAGTTCAATGAAAATGGAACATATCATACAGCTTTGACCATTACATGACAGTCTGCAAATCTAAAGAATCTTGAGAGCCAGTTTGGTGTAGTGGTGAAGGTGCTGGCCTACAAACCAGAAGACTGAGAGTTCTAGCCCTCCCTTTGGCATGAAAGCCGGCTGGGTGACTTTGGGCCAGTCTCTCTCTCTCTCAGCCCAACCCACCTCACAGGGTTGTTGTGGGGAAAAGAGGAGGCAGGAGAATTAGGTATATTTGCAGCCTTGAGTTATATATAAAAAAGGTGGGATAAAAACATAATAATCATAATCATAATAACCTTGTTCAATTATGTGCATGTGTATCCTTCACAAAAAGCTGTGAAGACCACCCCAAAATTTAGCTTATGAAAGTGGATCCAGGACATCTCAAGATTGACTTACTGACTGATTCATTTGCTTAATCTAGCTGCATGTTTATGTGTTCCTTCCATGGAATAAAATCATCTGGACCTGACTCTGAGAACACAGTAGGATCAGGTATGTTACCAAAGGCCCCAGCCATGCTTCAACTGAGATTATGGCATGCAATGATGACCAGCTGCCTTGATGGCATGAAAGTCTAAAACTGGCAATATGAGTAACTGCTCCCCAACAGTTACATGATTTCATAAGAACATGCTGCTAATTCACCAGACATGTTTCATACACTGGCATATGGATTGGCAAGTAACAATGGACTTTTCTTTTCCATTATTGTATTTTCATTCTCTTTTGATTCCAAGGATTTCAGGGCTAAGCTCTCATTATATCCTCACAGCAATGTTTTGGACAGATTAAAGTGACAGAACATGGAATACCATAAAATAAGAAGCCATTGGTAAGAAGCCATAAAATAAAATGAGGAGATGGATGTCTACATAAAAAGGCATAATCCATACCTGGAGTTCCAAGAGCCTGCAAATGCCCAAAGCACTTAAAGCATGGAAAGACATCAACCAAGAGTCTGTCTCCAACACTAATTAATATTTATGGGTAGGGACAGTTCTACCTCTAGAGCAACCTTCTTCAACATCACCTTCCAGATGTGTTGGACTGCACTCCCCAAGATGCACAGCCAAGAGTGCAACCTAAAACTATAGATCTTTGCTAGGTGAAGCTAACTGCTGGTCACCAACTGTAAAAGATGAGGTGGGAATCTGTTAGTTATTAAATTTATACGCTGCCCAACTCCCAGCAACTCTGGCCGGTTATGCTAGAGAAAGCCATTTGTAAAGAAAAGCAGAGAGCAAAAGCCTTCAAGTCCAGCTACAAAGCTGTTGACTCAAAAGGGCAGGAAGAAAAACCCCAGGATTTCAACCTGGAGATAAACATACAAAAAAACCAGGACGCTGTTGGATGGAAAACTTCATCCTAATACTCTGCAGTAAATTTTCTTAGCCAACTTTCTTGTGTCTGCTTGAACGTGAAAGGAGAAAGAATTTCATCACCACGCTGGGTACAAAGCCCTGACACCAACACCATGGTAAATGGTTCAGAGATTCTATTCAGATCCATAAAATTGAAGGAAGAGGAGACTGGAGGAAGAATTTGAGCTGAGATTTGAGACTGGCTGGCTGGACTGAAAGTTAGACTTGCCTACTCTGTCTATTAAATCTGTTGAGAATGTAAGAGATACTGTATACATGAGGTGAAATTAGGTTGTACACAGCAAAGGAAAAACAGGCAATAATATGCTCAGTGCCCAAATTAATAGTAGTGGTAATACTAAATTGGTACTAGTTGCAGATCTGATGTTGGGAATAGCACCATTTTAAGCTGACACAGATATAAGTAGAATGAGAAGGGCAGTGGAATGAAGTCATCAAGGCAGAGGAGGCATTTCATTTTGGGCAGAAGCAGTATGATACAGATGCACAATCTGGGGCCCCAGGGTTGCATTCAGCCCCCAGAAGATATGGGTGCAACACCCAGAGGCCTTTGAAAGTTGTTGCCAAATTACAATGAGTGCAATCCACATACAATTTAGGAGAACACTGATTAAAATGTTCACGTCCAGAGGAAAAAAGTTCGTTCTTCAACAGCTTAAGGTCTAATTCATATCCATGTGAACAAACTCCATCCTGCTTCAATAACTGTAGATTATGAAACACTAAGGAACATGTAGTCCAGGGGTGTGCAGCATCCAACTCTAGGACCACAACCATGAAATCTTTTCTCAGGCCTCCAGCTATTTGCCATTATTGCTGAAAACTGACAGCATCACTTCTTGCCATAAAAGTGGTAATGAATCTCATAAAATAAAAATATACTTAAGAAAACAAAACAAACAAACAAACCCAACCCAGTCCTTTCCCCCCAAAGCCCGCCTTACCCACATACGTCATGTGCATCCATCTACTTCGCTGCCTGTATAATTACCCTCCCTCAATATCTGGTGCGGGCCTTCTTGACCAATAAGTCCCAATGCTCCTTTCATAAAACATGGCCAGTCACTTATTACAACTGCAACTGAATTTTGAAAAACCCTATTCAGATAAAGCTTTCATAGGAATGTTCAAAGGAAGAGCATTTCTGGTATTAAATTACTGAAGAGTGTTGGTAATAAATTTCATACAGGACTGAACAGGTACATAATTTTGGGTTGAGTAAATTTGGGAAAGTATGGTTAAATAAAGTATCTGTAAGAATTTTGGGGGGGAATGAAAATTAATTTGATAGGATTACTAGAGGAATTTCTGAAAGGATTTTGGGATGTTTCTCTTTTAAATGAAAAGGGTCAGTTCAGTCAGGTGTGACAGTGGTCCACCTAGAATCATATGACACATTCTATAACACTTCTGGATGAACAAATAAAGTTGCCTTATGCTGAATCATTGTGGTGATCCATGTAACCCAACAGTATCTACCCTGACTGCCACAGAGGAGTACAGGAAAGGTCTTGAAGAAAATATGTGGCAGATGTTAGGAAAACATGAACTTAGCCTGGAAAAACAGGAAGGGATGAGAAAGAAACTTAGTATTACCTCACTTTGTTTGGTACAAGAGGGAGGAAAAGAGAAATGCTGTCAGGCTTTCAAGCTCTGTTACTATAACCTGTATCAATAAAGTAGAATTCCAGTAGTTCGCATGGTATCTATTGCCTGACTGGTCTAACCTTGAAGGGCTGACATCAACCATTGGATGGCACTGGTCTACTACAAATTGCTCTTTCTTTGCCCCAAAGACTTGGCAAAAAGGGACATTAGATGTTGCAAATTAATATTACATATTACAAGGAAATTCTAACAAAGTCGCAATCAGGGAGTAAATTACGATCACTTGTCACAGAGGTTTGTAACTGGGGCATGAGTTGAAGCCTGGCAAAGCCCCCCTGGCCATGACTTCCACCTGCTATTTAAGCTGGAGCTGTAAGTTCAGGAGCTGCCTAAAGTTATAAACCACTTCTGTAAGCAAAGTGCAACATGCCAAAAATGATGGCCCAATTTCACACACAGACACTCACTCCCAGTCATGTCCAAGATAGTGTTCCTAACCACTGTGAAGGTTTCACATATGATCATGATCACTCCAAGCTTGGTGTTGCAGTTGCTGCAGGACCTGAAACCTGGGAGTGCAGATTTCCAACAGGACCACATTTCCATCACTGCCCAACCAGATCTCAGCAATAGTCTCCAGTCTGCACATTCATCCAACATGATGTTATAAAATTCTATGTAATTTTAGCTGGAGGTGCTGGAACTAAATCTGAGAACCGCAAAGCAAAATCAGTGCCAGTAGATTACTTGTTTGTCTTCTTCCTGTAATGGCTGCAAGATTTAGTTCTTTGGCTTGACTTTTAGATGAAGTCTTTTTCTAAGCGTTCTCCTTGATTACTGGATTTTGTTGAGGTTGATTTGGTTTTATTTGCATTTATATTATTGCTTTGTAAATGGATTTTAGCAACAAGAAAAGCATGTAAAGAGATTGTGCATTCTAGGCCAAACTCCATCATAACACTGTTCCTGACTGTGTCACTGTGAAGAAAAATACAGCCTTGAAAGACAAGCTATCATCATCCAATGGAAAGTATGTTCTCGATAGAAAACCCAAACAGGAATAGAAATGGTTCCTATGGACAAGGGGAGGAAGAGCTCTTACTGGTGTTGGATCCCAGCAGTTTTGCCTCCAGTTCCTGCACCTGCTTTACCAGAAGTGATATATGCTGGAGAAGGTCCTTATTCTGAAGCAAGAGCTGGTGAACTCGGGCCTGGGCCTCAAGGCGGGCAGCTGCCTCTGTGGCCAGCTGGTCCTTCATCAAATGTACCTGCAGAACAGAGACCAAAAGCAGATGGTTATATGCAGTTGCAGTCAGAAGTGGACAACAAGGAAGATCTCTCTTTCTGACAGAACTCTACACTCTGAATATAGGCATGTATTGAGGCTGAATGTAACCCCCTCAAGATTACCTCCCCTGAGGTAGCTGGTGAAATAGTGTCTTCTGGGCCTGCAGAAGACTGAAGAGTAGATCCAACCCACCAAATGCTCTGCAGAGCCCTTGGATACCAAACAGAAACCAAGAAGTTGGCTTAAGAATAAAAACAATGTCTGGACTGATATCAGTCTCCAGTAGAACTGCCAAAGGAGCAGTTCATAAGTAAGAAAACAGATTGAGACAAAGCATGCTGTATTGTCTCATCAACCACCAAAGGTCTTTAAATTTTCATTAAGATTCTAGCACCAAAGACAAGGATATTCCACAAAAGCTACGCAATGAAGTTGGCATTGAAATTACCAGTCCAGGGTTCTATTCCTCTAAATCTTTGCTGTTTCTTAGCTAAAGGGCTGCGACTGAGTAGGCAGCTGCCTTCTTTGCTATTAGCTGAGCTCAGTTTGGAACATTTCATGCACTGACACGGTTCAGATTATTTGTACTAGGATTTCTATGTAGTCTTCTCTTCAATTATCCTGCAAAACGGATAATAACCTGAGCCACAGCAAACTGAGTCTGTTGCTGCTGCTGCTGCAAAAGCTGTTGCAGAAACTGCATTTGGTGGTGAGCAGAGAGAGGAACTTCCGGCTCAGGCAACTGGGCAGAAGAAGGGAGAAGCATTTTAGGAGAAGCCATGAGGATATTCTCTTTATGGACCAAGTCCTAAAAAATAAAGCAGATGCAGGATTCAGTTCAGACTGCCCCATACCCAGCATACACCTTTTATTTCACATAAACACAATTCTTCCCCACCCAACAGGGAGAAAGGAGCTACAGTGGCAGAACCAAAGCACAGTTACACTCTACCTTAGAAAGGAGCCCTCAGAGGTTCCAGTGCTCACATAGCTCAGCAAGCACAGCCAACCAGGATAAGACCGCTCCTCCAACTGTAATTTGGGGGAAACTGTCCATGCCCTCTTTTCTCTTTGGCCAAACAAAAAAGAAACAGCATCAACCATGGCAATGCAGAGAGGCCTTCATCCAAGAGGATCTGATCCTACTCATTCTGGCTAATATGGAAAGTCTCTGGTAGTTTGTCATCTATGTATAAAGCCACCTGAACATCAGTGCCTTTAAATACACTGTTTCCTGTCAGCATCAAACTGAGGAGGAAGAGGAGGAGGAGATGGAGAAGGGGTAGTCATCTGGTAGTGTTACAGGAAAGAGATGGGCCTTTCTACTAGCTGGGCTTATGAAGGACATAGTTTTCCTATGTTTTGTGGCATCAAGAACAGAGACTGCTGAGAATAGTGGGAATGGGTTGACATGTATCACAATAACATTCCCTTGGAAAAGGCTCTACTGAGTGGGGTTGATTTATTTCCCATGAATGATATATTTCCCATATTTCCCATGAATCAAATGATATATTTCCCACGAATGATGTAAGAAAAAGAAAAAACCAATTTTTCAATTCAAGAACCTAAGATTTTCATTTGATTTGTTTTCCTGATTATTTTTGCTTTAGAAGTAGGATGGAGTATGCTCTGGAGGGTAGCCTTAGGGTTCTGGAAGTAGGGCATGGATATAGTGGACCAGGTATCATGTAGACGTTTTCAACTTGATTCTATGACAGGCAGAGCTATTTAGACACTCTTCCTAGAGCTGCATTCTTTGCACATAAGCAACACTGACAAGGATAAATATACCTTGCTGCAAAGTAGGCCAGACATCTCTTTACCAACGGCATCAAGGTCTGTCACTCCCCTGTTGAATTCCAAGCGATCACTCCCTGGCCGTCTGATGTCCACAGCATCAATGTCTGTTTCCTCAGTAGTGTTGACAGGTTCAGGTTCAGCCAGACCACCAGCTGTGAGAAATTATCAGTAGCAAAAATTATGAAAGCAACCTAGGCAGACCCTAAAATGAGGTCCTAACATCCTGAGCAGGCTGATTCAGGCTAACAAGATATTCTTGATAGAAAATGGCAGGATGTCAGGGAGCTGCTTTCGAAACATTCTCAGGCTTAGGAGAGGCCAAAGTGAAGTCCCAGTGGGGCCACCGAGGAAGAATGGTTCCACACACTCTTTCAGTTCTGCACGCAAGGGGCGAGAGCATTTCTCAATCTTCTTTGGGCAAGTTATTGGGCCCGTTCTTCACTCAAATAAAGTTTTGCCACCTCTTTTTCTACCTGTTTGGGACTTTAATCCTCCATTCCTACAAAGACTGAGCCTTTCCCACCGTTGTTGCCTTTTTACCTGGTGCCTCCAAATCCTCGCTGCCCTTCTCACTATGGCTGTCCTCTTGGCCATCAGCATTCTGCTGTGTATGCTGAAGGCTCAACTTATGGCAGACTTCAAATGCTTGCCCCACTGTTCGGACAATGCGCATGGCCTGACTCTGCAAAGTAGAGAGAAAAAGGGCAATAAAGAACATCTCCTCCAAAGGCCAAGGCTACAGCTATTCCTGAGGAAAAAAACCCCATATCTTCTCTTAATATTCAGTTAGGTAGAATACCAGTAATCTAGTTACAGTTGGGAACTGTGTCAAGATTAGTGACAATCCATTTTCTCCCATATGCTCCTAAAACGTTGGTTTCCTCTGATCTCTGTAGCTACTGTCTAACACATTGTCTCAACAAATGAAACTGACCTCCTCCTAAGGACATACTCATTTCCAAGATAGGTCCTTGCTAATTCTTCCTTAGGAATGCAATTCTTTGTCCCAGATTCTGATGCTATGGCAATTATTGATTCATTTTTATTTTGTCTGCTAAGCTGCTGGTATCTCAAAAGCAGAAAACAGAGGATTGACATGGAACGAGACCTTGGTATCCAAAATTAGTGGAATCAAGCCCAGAAGAGATTTGCCTCAGCACCTTTTCTCTTATGATATTGGGAGTAGCCCTCGTAAATGCAGAGTCTAGGATACTCTGATAAAAATAGCAGAGGGTGACATGAGCACTGTTGCTTCAGTTCTTGAAGTAATCCCAAACAGTGCAGACATGGATGCCCTCCTTCCAATGAGAATATCAAAAATTTGCTGGAAATGCAAATTTCAATTTTCCACTTGAATGTAGAGGGCAGCTAGTCTCCTGTACAAAGCAGAACAATAATGTCAGATTACTAGAAGAACTATGCCTGGATCTGAATAGCAGAGGTGTTTCTGTGTTAGTTCTGCTGAATATCATGAAACACTGTGTTGCTCTGAGCAAGAAAGCCCGCATAGGGCTTTGTAGTGACAATGGGTTCTAACTAATAAATAAGTCAAAGAAAATTAAACTGGGCTGCTGCTCTTGACTGGTCTTTAGTAGATGGAGAGAAAATATTCTACAAAGTTCTAGACTTTTCTCAGTCATATCCGACATCTACTTGTAGTTACTGGGAGATGTTATCTTGAAATAATGACATCCAAACGCTTTATCTTGGGATGGCTATCATGATCCAACTCCAGCTCCCATTTTTCATCCAAATCCAAATTCTGAATGTATGAGGATACTACTCATTGAATAGATTGAAAAGCATCCAAAAGTTTCAGGTGGTATAAACTACATCAGGATTGATTCACATATTTGTTCATGAATTTTCTTAAATACCCACAGAACAAGGAATAGAAGAGAGAGGTTGTACTGTTGTACTACATGGGCAAATCCACTCCCAAGGAGCCTATTTTCCTATATTCCTCCCTCCCAATTTGGAATCTTGCTGTTTAGTGATTTGGAAAGAATCGATGAGCTTTCCAAATTTGCAAACCAGCCCACTGAAGACATGATTTGGAAGCTACGCTTTGACTTTAGGTTATTCCTCCTGAACCTTTTCAGATATTCCATCCTGGTAGACTTATCCAATACACATTTATGAGACAGAGACTGCTGAGAATAGTGGGAATGGGTTGAC